GAGGAAGACTGGCCGTTCCTACAATGCCTGCACCAGTGCTATCTCCCATCTCACATGCTCTTGGCATACTGTGACAGTTCTTCCACCGTGCAGTGAGTTGTTTTCACCCTGAGAACCTGGGCAGGGGGCTAGGAGTACTCTAACACTTCAGCATTGTGGAAGTGAGGCTGAGATTTTCAAGGAGAAAGAAGAAGAGAATACACTTTTCTCCTGGCTCACTGGGTGTCACACTCCAAGTATAGGAAACCAAAGTCAAGGAGAAATCATGAAAGAAGACAGAGAAAACTTACAGAGAAACAAGGATAGGATTTTCTCATAAGAAACTATGTAAACAAGAATATAGAAAAGCAAAGTATTTCAGGTGCTGAAACAGCAACAACAACAAAAAATGTCATTAGTCAAATTCTTTACCCAGTGAAATTATTCTTCAAAAATGTATGAAAAATAAAGACTTTCTCAAAAAAACAAAAACAGAATTTAGTGTCAGCAGAGCTGCTTTGCAAGAAGTAGTAAAACTTTTTCAGGAAGAAAAAAATTACAGCAGGTCAAAAATCTGAATATAAAGAAAGGAGGAGCTACTTGTTGCTCATTAATACTAATAAAAGGTTTGGGTAATTACAGATTATGGATGAATGAAATGGATAGCAGGAAGAAGTGGGAATACTGTGTTGGGATTTGTGTTCTGCCAGGGAGCAGCAGGGTGCTCTTTCATGATGAACTCAGATTAGCTGTAAATTTGTATTGCAAACTTTACAGACGCTGTTAGAACTGATTTCCCCAGGAAGCGTAACTGATACTTATATTCGGTATTGAAATAATCCCAAGCAGACTTTGACTTATAGATTCTCATTCCCTGAGTGTGGGTTAAACACAGTGACTTCCTGCAGGTGGAAGAAGAGGGAGAGACAAACATCACCTGGGCAGGGGGAGGCCAGCACACCAGGTGGAGCAGCCTGACTGCGAGTACCTTTCTTTTATAGGACCTCCTGGAAATGACACTGTATCTCCCCTGTTCCTCCTTTCCCAGCCCCATAACTCCAGCTGAATAATAAGAAAAAACAGCAGACAAATCACAACGGTGGGCCAGCACCTCTCTAAACTGCTCGTCAGAAACAAGGCAAGCCAGACAAAGAGGAGATTAGGAAGAACTGTGACATCCAGGTGGAACGTGGCATTCTGCATGGGGTCCTGAGGCAGAAAAAGGACCGCAGAAATCTGAATAAAGTAGAGATCTGAGTTAATAATTACGTATGAAAGCCAGGAAGTGCATATGGTAATCTTGCCTTTATCTTTGCCATTTTTCTCTAAAACTATTTTCAAAATTACACACACACACACACACACACACACAGAAACAGAGAATTTCCATCCACTTATTCACTCCCCAAATGACCGTGACAGCTTCAGTTCCATGAGGCCTGGAACTCAATCCAGACCTTTCAAATGGGTCGCAGGGACCCACTTTCTTGAGCCATCACCCACTGCCACCCAGTCAAATTCACAGGAAGTAGCAGTGGAAGCATGGGGCAGCTGAGACTCAAACCAGGCACAATAACAGGAGGTATGGACATCCTACGCAGTGGCTTCATCCACTACATGCACTACCCTAGAAAACACTTTTTAAAAAAGTGACAGTACCAAAAAGGGTATTTAGCTGCTGCAGAAAAAAGATGTAACAAATCACAGCTGTTAACAACACCAAGTTCCACTTATCCTTTCACCAAATGATGAACTACATATTATACAGCAACAGATACTTAGAAAATTTGTAAAGATCCTATTTTTTTTCCCAAAATTCAAGCTTAATGCTGTCTAATTTTGTAGCAGATAACACAGAGAAACTCGATCCTTAATCCCTTGGAGGACAGAACTGGACAGTAGATATTAGCACTGAACTGACTGAACTTGTTGGTCACCCTGGGTCTCAGGCACTTCATCACATGGCTCAGATACTGAATTAGCTGTTGACAGAAAACGACACAAGCCCACTAGTTCTCAGCTGCAAATGAACTTTTCTCCATCTGTCTTAGCTAAAATGAAGGCATTCTCCAGCTAGGTGGCATGAGGAAGCTGCAGAAAAGTGAAGAGTTAGAACTTCAGGCAGAGGGTAGCCCAGGTCAAAGCTGAGTTTGGCTTTGCACTGTATTTTGGAGGTCTACCTTGACTTCCTGAAACATCTCTCTTTAAAATCAAAGTACCAAAGACAAATCTGGGGGCTGGCATAGTGACACAGCGGGTGAAGCTGCCACCTGCACAAATCGGAAGATGGCTCAAATACTACCAGAAACAGTCAAAAAATCAGAAGATGGTCCTTGCCACCCATATGGTGGACCAAGATAGAGTTCTAGGCTCCTGACTTTATCAACCATCCCTGGCTGCTGCAGCCATTTGGGAAATGAACCAATAGATACAATTTTTTTTTCTAGCTCTCCCTCTTTCTATAACTCTGCCTTTCAATTAAATAAAATCAATGTAAAGAAAATAAACATAGGTGAGAGCCCAGCGTGGTGGCCTAGCTGCTAAAGTCCTTGCCTTGAATGCGCCAGGATCCCATATGGAAGCTGGTTCTAACCCCAGTGGCCCTGCTTCCCATCCAGCTCTCTGCTGGTGGAAAGCAGTCAAGGACGACCCAAAGCTTGGGACCCTGCACCCACGTGGGAGACCTGGAGGAGGCTCCTGGCTCCTGGCTTCGGACTGGCTCAGCTCTGGCCATTGCAGCCATTTAGGGAATGAATCATTGGATAAATGATCTTCCTCACTGTCTCTCTTCCTCTCTGTATATATCTCTGCCTTTGCAATAAAAATAAATAAGTCTTTTTTAAAAAGGAAGAAAGACTGATTAAGGAGAAACACAACAAGCTTGACAGATTCTGAAATAATGCTGCCACTGCCACTTGTCATACTGCTTGAGCCAGCACTTACCATGCACTCAACATGTAACACACACTCTCTCCTAGCCTGACGCTAGCAGCTAGCAGCATAGTCTGTCCTACCTGGCCAACAGCCAGCTGTATGATCCTGCTCATGTCAGTTTCTTCTCTGTGTCTCAAATTTTCTCATCTGGGGGCCAGCACTATGGTGAAGTGTGTTAAACATCTCACTGCAGCATCAGCATCCAATATGAGCACCAGTTTAAGTCATGGCTGCTCCACTTTCAACCCAGCTCTCTACTAATGTGCCTGAGAAAGCAGAAGGTAGCTCAAGTGATTAGGTCCTTACACCACATGGAAGACCAGAATGAAGCTGCTGGCTTTGGTTTGGCCCAACCTTGGCCATTGCAGCTGTTTGGAGATGAAAGATCTCTCTCTCTCTCTCTCTCTCTCTCTTTCTCTCCGTGTGTGTAACTCTGCCTTTCAAAGAAATACATACATAAATAAACAAACTCTTTACAAAGTCCTCATTCGTAAAATGCAGGGATTAACAGCCCTTTGGTAAGATTCCAGGAGTATTATATAGATCTAAGAAGAATATTTTTATATATGGTAACATAGCATTTGGCACATGCCAATTAGGTTTGTACTTAGCACTCTTATTAATGCTTAACAGTTCCCTGCAGGATCTATATTACTAACCTTCCTTAAACTGAGGAAGCACAGAGACTGAAGACATGCCTAAAGTCATTTCACCAGCTGGGATTCAAGCCCAGGAACTCATGCTCCAGAATCCCCATCTGTAGCCCGCAGGATGCCACAAGGGGCTTCTAGGAAAGCAGTCAACCAAAAACAGAGTTCTGGAGGGTGGCAGAATGGAAAATCCAAGGGGGATTGTGCAAGAGGACAACTGATCAGATATGCAGGAAAAGAACTGATCTGATTAAAGACAGGACATTGAGAATCCTTGCCAATGTGGAGCCAAGGCTAGCTGCAATCCTGGTTTGATAAGGAAATGCACAGACCAGGAACTCGCTAATTGTCAGGCTCAGATAACAGGAATGGATTCTCTTGGTCTTTTGGCAAAGGTGGGGGAATTCCTGTAGTTGCAAGTCAACTCCCATTTACTGTTGATATGTAAATGTGTCAAACCCTCCTCCCAGAAGTCTATGGGACCCTCAGTCTTTAAAAAGTCTGATGCTGTTAATAAACTTTGGCTATTGACCATCAGTCAGTAGTTCATGTATCTGATCATCGGCTCTGCATACCAAGTCCATCACTGCCAGACAGTGTACAGGAAAGCAATTGGAAAGAGGAAGACAGGACTGGCACATGGGAACACTTCTTCGGGGCTGGAAAAGACAGGCTGGATTGCCAAAAGGTCAGAGATTGGGGTGGTGGTGGGGAACCTGCAGAAAATGAGCATCCAAGTAATGGGCAAGGTCCTCAGGAGCACACAGAGCAAGACACAGGGCTGCAGGAAAGAGTGTGATATAACAGGAAAACAAACAAAACAACAGAGGAGGAGACCAAAGCATTAATTAGCCAAGTAAGTGGGACATTAGGACGACTTGATAGGAGAGCTGCAGCAGGTGGAGGAAGCCCCCAGTGCTGTGTCCTCCCAGTGCCAAGTGCAAAAGCCAATCAAGCTGAGCTCCTTCAGGGGAGCCCCCCAGCTTCTCACCACCAGCATCAAACTGACCCATTGCTGGGATGTTTCCCTGAGTCTTCCTGCACACTGGATCGTGTGACCTTCCGTTACACAGAAGCCCTTCTGCTGCTCTGGCTCCCTAGAGTACCTCATGGCATCCATAATGCAACCAATGCTCATTAAACGTTATTAACATCGGCCTGGAGACCCCTGCATGTCTTTGTCCCAAGTGAGATACTATGCTCTGTGAAGACAAAAACTGTCTCAAACCCCAGTCTCACCAAGCACCTATGGTGGCAGGACCTTACTCAACTCTAGGTCAAGAATTGATTTTGGAGTGACTGGGGACAAAAAAGGCACATTCCTTAGCCCAGAATCCTGGGGAGAGCCTACAAGGCTTTCAGGCGGTACTCCATTGAAAAAACGGAGACATGCCCACCTCCTTAACCCGAGACAACACACAGTTCATTGATTGTCACCTGAGCGGGCAGCAGGTTCACGGCCATTCCTTCCTTCTTAGTTTTCCTGTGGCAGAGGCGTGGAGTGCTGACCAAGTGGGTCTGGAAGGGACAAAGGGATGGCTTGGAGAAAGAAACCGCAGGTGCCCACCATGTTCATCAGGTCCCAACCATACCACCCTGTAAGGATGCAAACCACATTGACCAAATTACCTGGCCAGGCCCCACCCCCTACTCCCACCCCTGTATTAACCATACTTCTAACTTATCTAAGCTGATACTTTAACACCCCCTTAGGCCTGTGTGCTACTCTAAGCCCACTGGGACTCACTTAGACAAATCAAGAACTTTGAGAGGTTTAAAGGACACATCTGCATGGTCACAGCAAAGATGAACTCCTTGGGGAAGCAGCACTCTCCTACACTTGCCCCTCTTCCTACTGCGTGACCTACTTGGGCTGGCCAGAGAGGTCCTTTGAGGACCACAGTTCCCCAAGGAACTCTGAATACCATACAACCAGTAAGATTTCCCCTAGTCTCTCTTGATCTACCTCTGGCCATCCCATATCTCACCCAAGGTGATGTAATGAAGATGTCCCTTCCCAGGATAAATATCATGTTAGCATTAACCTCTCCTAAACACAGATTCTGTCTCTTACAATCTCCACAGCCCCACTTGCAGCAGTCAGAAAGACTTGGCCACATATGTCTGCTCTACCTCAGCCTGCAGTGGGCTCCTCGGGGGCAGTAACCTTGGCCCTGGGGCACAACATGCTACCCATGCTAGGAAATTTGCAACCAGCACACCACAGCCAGCCGGCCAAAAGATGTGCCATTCTATGTAACTACTGTGCAAGAGATGAATGCTGGCCAATGGCACACACCTACCTGGTACCAAGAATCCTGAGCGCTTTCCATGTATATCTTTAATCAATGCAACAACCTGAAGGAAGTAAATACAGCAGGCCTGGGTGGACTCAACTCACCAACTGTATTAAACAGGGAAAACAATGCAATCTGCGACTCATTTACAGAGCATTTATGTCATACCAGGAATTGAAATCACCTGGAGATGATTTAAAATAAACAGCAAGGCTATATGCATACACTACACCTTTCGCATTAAGGGTCCATGCATTCAGGGGCTCAGGGTCCTGGGGCCAACCCTCCTCGGACCCCAAGGGACTGTGTTGTCACCCTATTTCCCCCATCCCCCACTACCTCATTTTTACAGATATGGGGAAGACCAAGGAGTCATGAGTTGCCTAAACTCACAAAAACCATTAAGTAGTAGAGCAGGTCCCAGTCTAAGTCCCAGTTAATTACTGGGCCGCCCTGGGCCTTGGATTCTTGCAAAACGGGAAATCGTGTGCACTGAACCTGTCGTCCGAATACGAAATGCGTAAGCCTGCAAGCGATGGGTTAGCTAGTTGTTTTACCGCGGCTACGTCCCGAAACAGTTTACAGAACAGGCAGGCTCACACCCCTGGGGCCCCCAGCTCACCTGACAGGGGTCTTTCTCCGCGGGTGCCCCCGGCCCCCGCGGGCTCCCGCGCGCGCGACCCCCACCTACCGCGAGAGGCCCGGTCCCACCACGACGGGGAAGAGTCACCGGGAGAATCTCCACCTCAGACTGTCCGGGCCAGCCGCGCCAGGGACACCCTCGGCTACGAACCCCAGAAAGGCCTCTCGAGCCGTCCCGGAGCCCCGCGCGAACTACAACTCCCGGCATGCCTCAAGTCACACCCAGAGGGCCCTGCGGCGAGGCGACTTCCGGCTCTCGGCTTCCCGCCATCTGCCTGGGATGTCTGTAAAGGGAGAACTGTAGAAAGGAAGTCGCCCGTGGGAGGGCAGGTCTAGGGGGGCCTCAGAGGAGGAAGACATCAGAAATGAAGGATGACTGTGTTAAATATGGTTGCCTGATGAGCTAGAATCAGGAATCCAGCAAGGAAGGGTGCAGGGGCAGGTGTATATGTGAGTGGCATTCATGAGCAAGGTCAAGGATGGTAATCTTTCTCATAAATATTACTGAAATCGTGATCTCAGAAGGAAAGAACAAGAGATGGACAAAAACAAGTGGCCTGAAGACGTGGCCTCCAAGCACTTTCTGGTTTAAAGATCGAGAACATGAGGAAGAACCAACTAAAGAGAATTCCAAGGGAAGTGAGTGCAGCATGATATTGTGTGACAAAAGAGGTGTATTTGATCTTCATCCCCACTTCCTGGCACAGAGGTCCTAAAACCATGGGCATATTTTGGGGACATGGGTTGTAGAGTGAGGAGTCAAATGGGACAGTATGCAATGAGAGTCTCTGATCCCTGGTAAAGTTGCCTTTTGAAATATGAAGTTGTGCTTCTCCCCACTTCTTACCCTTCCAAGAGCAAGTTTTTCTCCTCTGGAAGGAAAACCAAAGGACAGAATCAACATATGTATTCCCCCTCTTTCATCATAATCAGAGTGGAAGAAGGAAGCCACCCGAAAGGGTGCAGACATGTTTGAGATGATGGAGAATTATTAGGGTAAAGAACAGAGAGCAGATTACAGAAAAAGATAGGGGTCAGGAAGTCAACAGGGAGGTACCTGGAGAACCCCTGGACACAGGGAAGAGGTGATGACAGTGAAACAGTTTTACAGGGAACAGAAAACCTACCAGCTACTAGTGAGCTGTGATCCAGTCTCCAGTGATTAACCAGGGATGCAGAGGCGGCCACACATCAGCCCTTGAGACAGCCAGGTGAGAAGTTTGGGTTTGCACGGGGAGCTCAGGGGTGAAGGCAGGCTGGGACTGGCCGATCTTGTGGAATACTTTGGCCCAGCAATGAACAGAAAGGGAGCTGCAGACTCCACAGGGCAGACTGGTGGCAGGTCGGAGCTAACAGCACAGGGATCAAATGCCAGAGCGGGCATGTTTCCAGCTAGTCACATCCGACTGACCTCACGAGGAGGACAGCACCAGCTTTGCGTCCTGCAGGATCTGTGTGGTCCCCAGATCAGAAAGCCAACAGCCCCAGCTCTCCAGCAGTGCTCCGCTGGGCACCATCTTGTGTGTTTAGACAAGATCAGTGCTGCCGATAAACTATTTATCTGGGACAGTTGGCATCTTCCTAACCCAGGACACTGATTGAACATAAAAATTGACTTGTAGACCTATAGGTAATACATCTTAGAAAACTGCACTAAGGAGAAAAATGCAGCAAACAGAAGGAAACCTCCAGTCTCACTCTTTAGTGCTGGACAAGGTGCTACATTGCTGCCCATTGTGAATGAATTCTCTCCTCTCTTTTGGCTTTTGAGAGACTCCCCTGAGGTGGTGTATAAGAAGCACCATTTCCACCATCCCTTTGGGTCTTTTCCTTTCTTGGAGCCCCGCCTGTCAGTATGGCAGGAGAGCTGTCTCTTTCTTAGATTTCCTCAGGTCTTTCCTCCCTTGGAGCCCCCTCCTGTCACTACAGCAGGAGTCCTTCCTTCCCTCTCTTCTTAAATAATAAATTGTGCTTTGCAAACTAGAGTTGTCTGCATGAAAATTCTTTCCTGTGAGACAAGAAATGAGGTTGCTGCCATGTTTTGTGTTGAACTCTCTGCAACAATAGAAGCATCATTTATTATATCTGGGTTTTTCACAACGCTTCTAAAAGCTCTAAAATTTCCTGAGTGGCAAAGGTGATTGGAGCATATGGCTGTCCCTTGGTGTCCTTGGAGGCTTGGTCCTAAGATGCTTCAGTCTCTCATATAAAGTGGTACAGAGATTTCATCGGACTGACACGAGTTTTTTATATACCTTAGATCATCCCTAGACTATTCATTATAATACAGTGTCACTGCTGTGCAAGTCGTTCATAGCCATATCAACTGCATAGGGGATAATCCCATAATCCCGTAAGGGATAACTGTAAGAAGAAAAGCAGTGTGTGGTACAGATATGTTTTCAAAAACTATTTGGCATCTGCTTTTGGTTGAACCCATGCATATGGAGTCTACTTGTATAGAGGCCTGATTATATTGTCATTCATAATGAACCCTTTTTGCTCATACCTGGGTTTTTTCAATTGGGATGACTTGGGTTGGTTCCAGAGCTAGTTCAGCCACCAGAACAACTAAGTGCCCTGACCTCTGAGTGAGTAAACTCTGTAAAATAATAATAATAATAACAACTCTTGATGAGCTTTGGGGAGCTTTGGCAATGGAGAACAAATACATGGAGGCGCTGGAAGAGTAACACCATTATTGTTTGCATTCTGGGCATGCACCTGCTTTGGCATGCCAGAGGAACAACCTGCTTACCTCTGGGTTGCAGGAAGATGAGGGACACCTCTCATGCAATGCTGGCCAAGCCTCAGGGAATATGAACTTACTTCAGGTGCATCCGTGCGATGTCTGACAGCTCCACACATAGCAGGTGGACAACAGAAGCAGGCATTCCAGGAGTTTGTGACATGCCATTTGTTCTGTTCTGATCACAGCCAGAAGCTGTCCGCAGTGATGAAGCAGCCTCTCCCTACAATCATCTGGGGTTGAGTCACCCACACTGGATCCAGGCCAGCCCCAGGCTGGTCCCTGTGATGCTCTCATCTAACATCCCCAACAGGAGAGTTGCCTCAGTTCTGCCAGATCAGAGAAATATGGTATCCTGGGCACCTTGAGGGGCAGGTGTGAGTGGTGGCAGAAATGTCAGGTAAGGTAGGCCTTGGGGGAGTGAGGAGGCAAGCCCTACTGTCTGCACCCTAAATTCTTGTCCTTTATTGGAGTTGCAATGTCAGGAGCATGAGCAGGAGTGTGGGACATGAGGGACCAGAGATGCCTGAGCTAAGTTCCCTGTGACCTTCAGAAGGTGAAGGGTCAGAAACAGACTCCTGGTCAAGGATGTGTCAAAAGAAAGGGCTCTGGGTACCTCTGAACAGGTGTCTCCACCACCATGAGGCCCCACTCATAGACAGCCTGGAAAGAGGTTTGGTCCTGTCCCATCTCTTGGGTGTCAGGCTGCAAACAGCTTCATGACTGTCATCCCAACCATCCCTGCCAGCTTTGCCCCAGGGACTTCCTGTGCTCTCAGGAGCCCCGGGGCCTCTCATGGAGGCTCCCAGCTGCCTGGCTTCCTTTAGGCTTTCCAGCTCAGGGCAGGGCAGCGAAGTGGGTTCGACCAGAAGGGCTAGCCTAATTTTCTTACCTGTTCCTTCAGCACTCAGCCTTACCCTGACAGCCTCTGTAAGCTCAGATGACAGGGCTGACATGCAGTTGTCTGCCCCAGCCCAGCTTCTAGAGCAGCCATGGGCCTGAGAAGGTAGGATTGGGCAGGATGAGGGGCTCACACTCCCTGTGCCAAGGCTCCCTATGGGCCGTCCCTGGAGAGTTGGAAGACAGGTACTTAATGGATATCCACTGATGGGACCAGGTTGGGTGACAGAGTGGCCTCTCTGAAGATTCTTTCCCATTAAAAATTGGAGAAAACCTACTTGAGTAGAGGTGAGAAACCCCAGAGAAGCCAGTGCCATGAGCTTGCTCTGCTCTGCGTGTGGCCTTGAAGGAACAGGGCTGGGGGCATGGCAGCGCTATGCCATCCCTGGTCCAGGGGCACACCAATCAGAGGAGTCTGCTCCGCAGTGGTTTGTGTTACCAGAAATGTCTGGTGGGTTCTTTCTTCAGCTTAGTATAGAAATAAAAAGCCAGGAATCTGTTGCAGAGAGAAAAGTTTATTTGCGAAGGGAGCAGGGAAGGGAGGGAAGGGGAAAGCACCCCCAGAAAGGAAGCGGGAGGTGGGGTGCCTCTCGAAAGGGAAGGGAGAGAGAGACACCAAAGGTTTGAGGAAGGGTCTTAGGATTTTAAGCCTTCCTTGACCCCTCCTTGTTGGGTGGGGAACCTACAGGTAAGATGTTCCCCATTGGTGGTCTCTTAATTAATTAGAAAATGGGTGGGCAATGCTGGTGCCACCCACCTGAAGGTGTGGCCAAGACCTCAGCAGGCCTGGATGGTCTCAGTTACCACACCCAGAGTCAGACCTGGAGACCAGTGTGTGTCTCAGCTACTGTGCCAAGGACAGGAGTGCAGAGGGCTAAGGCAGGGTTACCCTGGTCCTGCCCCCGACTGCAGGGCAACACCATCCCTCACAGGAGCTGCCTTCATCCTGGGACGGTGACTGCCCTCCTGGCCATGTTTCTTTCTGGGTCCAGACTGGTATGCCCCCTTGGCTGACTTCTCCTTCCTTTGATGTTGCAGCTTGCTGTGGGGTAGTGGTAATGATGGCAGGAACATCAATCAGCATAGTATCAGGAGGTGGTTGCCTGGGGCTTTTTTCCTCCCACTTCCCTCTGTGCTTGAAAGAACCAGGCCCAAACTCCATGAACTGTGGGATGCCTTGGGTCCCTGGGAGGTTGTGGCTCAGGAGAGCTCAGGGTCCTTCTAAGGCTCGGGCGCTGCTCCTCATGCAGTGCATCTTTAGTGGCTGGAAGGGATAAGAAAGTTGCAGGACCCCTTCCCCCACCCAGGATCACCTGGTGCCCCTCATGCTGAAAGGAGGTGGAACT